CGGCACGGAACGTGCATAGTGTCTATCGTGATGGATGTGAAACTTTCCAAAGAGTCTAATTTAGTCGTCAATTGAAGTTGATCTTGAGCTGATAGAGCTCAGCCTGTAAATCGATGTTCCCTCTTGGCAAATGAAAATATATACGTATTTTGATGTTGCTGGCAGGCCCAGCCGTTGACAAGTATTAATCGAACCGACCGCGGGCCATCGTTCGATAGATCGAACCAAGTTCAACTTACAGGCGCTTCGATGAAGATGATCTGTTCAACTTTTTATCCTTCGAGCTCTCCTCCTGTCAATTGGAAATCACGCAAACGCACAATTTTCCTTTTCCTTTTTTCTTTCTTTTTTTTTCCGAGATATTTAAAATTTCTGTTTTATATGTGTTATACAATTTTGTACTTCGAATTTCGATAGCGCTGCAATATCGTTGCCTCGTGTTTCAACATTTGACGAAAACTTTGAATTTTAAAAGTCCGTTTGATACTTTAATTTCTTTTTCTTTTTTTTCTTCAATTCCATTGAAATAGCATTCGATTTTCTGATCTTCGAATGTAACAATTTCTAACTGATACTTGATATTAATGATATTTTATTATAATGAATAATAAGTAACAGTACATGATATCTAATGCAATAAATACAATTTCGCATTGAACGAAATTTCTTTGTTTCTTTTTTTTTTTTTTTCATCAAATTAACTTTGATCTCCTTGATCGAGAACGCATCGAAGCGTCTGTAATTTAATATTAAAAGAATAAATCTGTCATATCAAGTCTATAAGTGTGTAAGCCTAACAATGTGTTAGATTTCTAGATATAAACTATTTCAAGCGAGTTCTCGCTGTTATGGCCGGTGTTGTAGAAATCTTTCGTCTAAGCAGTTGTAAAAAAAAGAGGGAGAGAGAAAGAGAAAAGAAGAAAGAAGAAAAGAAACGAAAAACCCTATCCATAGAAATCTGATTTTCGAATGGAAAAAAATTGTTTCTCGAATCTTTCTGCAATACTCGTCTCATAATGGCAATGAAAACTAGTCAATTTGAGAAAAACATGACTGGCTTTCGCCAGTCTCGAGGATAATCGATTATTCTTCCTGCGTCTTTCGTCTTCTTGATGGCCTAAACGCAGAAACTTAGAATCCACTATACTTATTACTTGCGTCATGTGATTTGCCAGGAATAACATGAAATAAATTTTTATTAAATAAAAAACTGATTGTAGTTTCAATTATTATCCTGCATGTAATGGATTTCGAAAATCATACCTCTAACACGTTCAAACTTCAATGACTTTACTTAATTACGTAGTTCTCCAATTCACCGTTGTTTTAGCGTAGAGTACGCAATAATTTGTAATTTATTTGTTATTATCCTTCGTTGGTAACTGCATCCCTATGCTCTCTATTTTATCAACTGTGCTCTCTATTTTATCGACTATGCTCTCTATTTTATCAACTATGCTCTCTATTTTATCGACTATGCTCTCTATTTTATCGACTTTGTGATTATCTAACCATACATAATTTTTGATTACATATCCGAGACAGCATATTCTTTGCTATCGCACAATCCAAATTCTATGTAAACCGAATTTCAATTTTAAAAAGCTCTCGAAATAATTATATTTTTTCAGATGACAGAGCTTCCTTATCATCACAGATTTGGTTTTCGAAAGTTGGCAATAGTGCTATTTCATCAGATACATACTCAGTAACGTGGTTGTTCCGTGACCACGTTCGTGAACCACAGCACGTGATTATTTGATTATTTTTCTACTGTGATATAAATTAATTTTCTTTCGTAATCTTTGTGAAATGACCCTGAAAACACAGTTTTCTTTTAATCGTTGTATTGTGATGCCCACACTGTGTAAGTCATTGGACCGATGATTTGCTGTTCATTAACGATATGTGAGAGAGGTAAGTAAATATATATACATATGTATATACGAGATAGATTAGAAAACATATTCCTACAATTTACCAAAGAATAAAAATCTAAAATTCAGAAAATGAATTGATTACAAAATAGCATAATAGTATCTATGAAAATTATTTGTACGTCATTACATTTATTATAACATTTATGTAATGATTAATTAGATTCACATATGTGTATTTAATTTCGTGTCATTTAATAATTTATAATTTAATTAAAAAATAACATAATTTAAAATATTAGAATATAATTAAAAGTGTTCAATCAAAATTAATTTTATATATATGTAGTCAGCAATGATTGTATCTAATCTAGTTATATATATATATATATAAACTTTTTCAAAATAATTAAAGAAATAGAAAACAAATCGAGTGAAAATAGTTTAAAGAAAATTCAATAGGGATTAATTAACAAATAAAGTAATTAACTATGTTACATTGGTTATTATTTTTAAATGCAGTTCAAGAATATTGCCTTTTTGTCACAAATTATATATGAATATAAATCTAACCATTCAAAACTTCTGAACAATGCAATATACAAGTTGTGAGATTATTGTGACAAAACCATAATGTAAATCAAAAAACGATTATTAAAATCGTTCATATTGAAACAATATTTTTTCCTCTATCCTTCTTGCAGAATATTTGTAATGTCGATAAGAAGGAATTCTACTGCCAGTAAAAACTGTTTCAATATCTTTGCAAATTTTATAATGAATTTTTGGAACCATATCAAAGAATTTTACATAATTTTATCATCAATCGAACAGTAGTGTTTTTCGTTAGACCAATAATTCCCCAATTTTTTTCAACTTCAAATAGATTATCAACAAAGGGTACGAGTTTAGTAGTAGTTTGAAAAAACAATAGATAATAAGAACAGTGCTTATCGAATCAGAAAAAGATATTATTTCTTCAAGTCAAGGATATCATAATTGTTTTCGATTTTATAAAATAGCAATTAATAGTTGAAGTGTAAAATGGATATAAATGAATTTGTAATGAATCCTTTTATGTCAATGATATTTGATATTAATACATTTTAATTCAGATTAGTTGAACGATGGAAAATAATTTCAATTCAAATCGGAGACATGGAATATTTGGAAAAGTATATTATCTGTCTGAATTAAACAGTTATGCTATAAACAATAAGTAGGAAATAAATATTACTATTGATAGAATTAATTTTTTTTTATGGAAAAAAATTTTTTTTTCTTTTATTGCAATTTTACATAAAATTTGTTTGAATAAAAAGATCATTATATAAATTTCTCTGGGGCAGTATTTTATCAGTGCACTGTTCTTATTATCTACTGTTTATTATCTAGTTATTATGTAATATTCTGAAAGAGATATCAAATAATATTCATTATTACAGAGAGTGGGGAATCATTGCAACTTGTGCAGTTTTTAAGCGATATCAGCAGGAAAAATGGATACTACAAAAAATTCCAAGCGTGAATAATATAAAGCTATGCGTAAATAAATGATCACGTGAAATAATTGACGAAGTCAACTTGTGATTCAATATCATCATCAATCAAGCAGCAATCATGGACAACGAGGTAATCAAACCAATTGTATTTTTATTCCTTGATATTTTTTTTTTTTTTTTTTTTTAAGAGATTCTAAATTATTTTCATTTTTCGCTGTTGAAAGTCTCTATTTGAACTAATTGAAATTATTGTTCTGCTTATTTGCCGTTAAATTAAATTGCATTATTTTTAGATTGCACAGTGCTATTCGGATCAGAACGAAAGTAAAACGAGCGATAAAAAATGGAGAAAATATTCGAAATGGATAGAGCACATATCGGTGGAACCAACGATGTGGCTATATATGATGGCATACATGATCACTTCCGTCGTGGAACAGGCTTTCTTCGTCTATAAAGCGTGTCGAGTCGATCACGGTTATTCCGAACAGATTTGCTCAAATCTGAGCGATAACGAAACAATAAAAACAGAAGTACAGGTAGAATGTCTAATCACGTTTAAAGGAAATTAGAAAAAGGAGAAAAGCTTGAGATTTATCTTGTCGAGATGAAAAGATTAAAAAAGACTTATTGCATTGGAAGAAAGGAGAAAGAAAAAAAAAAGCTAACAATAATGACCTATTTTATAACGTAGTATTTACTTCAGTACTTAAGATAAGAATGTAAGCACTTTAAGACTAAGAATTCTATTCATTGCAGGAGAATTTAATTAGCTTAGCTTTTGAGAAAAAAATAATTTTTATGATACTTAATAAAATATAAAATTTTTTGATAAAATGTAATATTAGTTATTAGTTAGTTATTATTAACTAATTATTAAACGAGATACTAACATAGTACTTCAATATCTAGTTCAATTATTAGTATATATTAATGTATTATATAAATTCTTAAAATTGTCAAATTCTTTATTATGCTTTAATATTTTTTTTTTTTTTTTGTATGCATTAAATGCAATTTATCAGGAATATAAAAATTTTACCATTGATCATATTCTTTCTATTAAAGAATATATAATAATGAAGCTTGACTGCTAAAAGCTTGCGATAGACTATTTGTAATTGAAATTTGCAAATTTTCAGGTAACAGTCTCAAGTTTCCATCAATGGAATAACATGGCAGGCCATGTAGTACCCATAATACTAGCCCTATTCTTTGGAAACTGGAGTGACAGACGCGGTCGAAAACTGCCATTAATTATTGGACTACTAGGAAAGTTTATCTACTCTTTTATGATTGTGATTAATTCCTTGATTGATACATGGAATCTAAATACTATAGTATATTCAGCCAGCCTCCCTATGGGGATGTTAGGAGGAGATGTTGCCATTTTTGGAAGCTGTTTTGCATACATATCAGACATATCATCTGTTAAACAAAGAACCCTAAGGATTACCATCTTAGATGTTGTTTACCTTAGTACTATGCCCATTGGTAAATAAAATTCTATAATTTATTTAATTTTGGAAAATTTTAATTGAAGAATGCATATAATACACAAAACACGAAAAATTAAGATATTTTTAAGAAGAGAGAGAGGTGTAAATAATTCGCTTTTTATTTTAGGTGTGGCTTTGGGTTCTTATCTCTACACCAATGTTGTCAAATCATCCTACACTATAATGTTTACCATAAATACCATTTTGCTAGTTTTAGCCATTGTGTATTCATTGATAAGGCTAAAGTGGCAAACGTTGTCTCAACAACAGTCGCTAGTAGGCACTAACTTGTTAACTGACTTTTTTGATAAAAAGCACATAGTGGCAACCGTCAAAACAATGACCAAGAGCAGGCCAAATCATGGAAAACTTCACCTGTGGCTTTTGCTGATCATCATGATGTTATATACTTTCCAAAGAGATGAGAAACCTATGAGTTTCTTGTATACACAATTGAAATTCAATTGGAATGTAACCACATTCAGTAATTTCAGAACATTCCAGTCAACTACTTTTGTTGTAGGTCAGTTACCATGAGATTTATTTTCTTTATGATGAATATTGTAAAAAAGTGATCTTTATAAAATTATTAATGGAAATTGGAATTCAGCAATCATTTTAAAACAATTGCAATTGAGAAAAATCATAAGAAAGATATAGTATGAAAAAAATTAGAAATTCTTATTCTATTATTCTAGAAATATTCTTACATTAAAATTAAGAATTGTTATAGTTAAAAGAAAACAAAAAAAAACATTTGAAGAACTTACAGCTAATTATAGAATCTAGAAATTGTTATAATCATCATAATTTGGCTTAGTATTTTCTGTACTGTTCCAGTGAAAGTAAGAATTCTTTATTAGAGAACTTTCACTGACTGAGAGAGTAGCCTTCTTGTGAGAAATACTTAAATAATCACAATACTGGAATACATAACGTAACTATCTTTATTTTAGCGATGCTAATCGGCGTTCCAATAATGAGTAAATTGATGGGAATCCGGGACACTATAATAGTAGCTATTGGTGCAATTTCTCATGCTTCCGGAAGAATAATATTCATCTTAGCCAAAATATCGGAATTATTCTATGTTGGTAATTAGAAATGAAAAATATTCATTATATACAGATAAAAATAGTTGTACTTTTCTTATATTCTTTTCTAATATTTTTAAATCTTTTTGTATAACAAAGAATTTTAGAAATTAGATTTAAAGACAACAATAACAATGTTTTCTAATTTCAGGTGCTAGTGTAGCTGCTCTTGGACCAATAGTGGCACCAGTTCTAAGGTCAATGACTTCAAAACTTGTTCCTGTAGAGGAACGCGGTATACAAACAGTGATATTTAAATTATATCTTTCAATTTTATACAATTACATTTTTCAAACGATTAATTATATGATACTTTTCTATGTTGCATTAGTAATTTCATGCAAAATATTTAAAGTTTTACATTTTATAATTTCCTGCAATGTGTAATAATACTATACTTGATCAAATGTTAATCATACTTAATTAATATTACTGAAGTAATTCTTGTAATTATAGGAAAAGTATTTGCCATGCTATCAGTCTGTGATAATGCAGTACCTTTGTTCAGCGGCGTATTATATTCTCAACTATACAATGCAACTATAAATTCAGCACCTAACTCAATCTATTGGTTGACTTTTGCCACTCAAATATCTGTTCTATTCCTTATTCTGTGAGTATTAAGCAAAACTGATATAAAACAAAGATATAGACGATCAGACTATTAGATAAACATATTTACTCAACATTAATTATGTTTCAGAATAATTCATTTTTCTACAAGAACTCAAACGCATCTAGAAAACGCAGAATACATTGATAATGAAGATGACAATTTATCAATATCTTCTATTTTGGAACCAACAAGAAATAGATAGACTTTGAAAAAAGAAAAAAAATTTCTTTCACATAAATCTAATTTTAGTCTTTTAATTTTTTGGGGCATACAATTAATAGATTATTAATATTTATGCTTGCAAAAAATTTAAAGGTACTAAAGAAATTTAAAGTTCAAAGTTGTGAGAAGTTGTAAAAAGGAGCAGTTGAAAATTAGACACAATATTTTTATCTATTTTGTATATTAAAATCTATTTCTATTTTAAAAGTCAATGTTTATATAAAATATTAATCCAAAATGTTATTCGGTAGTAAAAAGTGATTACTAGTATTGTTAATAAGAAAATGCAAGGTATTTTATAATTCTCCTTTTTTATGTAATGAATAAATTATGTATAATACAACATTGATTTTTATCTACCTGTATAATTTAAAAAATTATGATCAGAAATTATGATTAGAAATTCAAAACTTCCTATTTTTTGCTGTGTATTTCCTATTTCAACTATTTGCTTCTTTATAACTTCCTAATTGTGTTTAATAATAATTAGTGAGTTTTCTTATCGTGACACAATAACCAGATTCATAAAAATAAATTTACATACATATATCCACAGTTTAATTATTAATATTGTATTATGTGATAATATGGCACGAATTGTACATAGTTAGATTTTAATACATAATGTTGGAAAATAAATTTTAATAAAATTGTATACAACTTATTTGTACATAAAATATGTCCTTTTCCCTCACAGATTAATTAGTGATGTAAAATTAATTGGAATTGGTTTTCTCTTTACGTCCGACTAAAATGAGTCACTGATTCTATAATGAAATTAATGACTAATAGCAGAAAACGAATGTGCATTTTGATCGATTACTAATATTTCTAGTAATCAATCTATATTCTTTTCTTTTTTAATTATATGCCAATAAGCGATCATTTGATGAATTTATATTGTGTCCAACTTTCAATAAGTTAATTATGCATAATAAATAAATCTATCATAACAATGGAATATTATTGAAAAAAATAAATTTTTTAATCCCTTATCTTAAAATATTTCGAATTTTTAATTTTAAAAATGAAAATATCGAAATTCCTGCAAATCTTAAGCATTACTTTCAATTCGGTTAAAACGATCTCGTGTATTTTTCATAAATTAATAAATTATCTTTAGAAAAATTAAAAAATGAAAGATTTTAAGATCTGTAATTATTTAGATCTATGTATGTTGCAATTATCCCAATTGTGCTAAATTAAAATTAAGAATTTTTCTATAAAAAAAAAAAAGTCATACCATATATTTCGCTAATACAATTTCTATCTCGAACACAAATTTAATAAAACCTGTCGAAATCTAAAAATTTTAATGCTTAGCAAAGAAATATTTTTGAAGTAAAAATTTAACATTAGAAATGTGTGCAGAATGCTATGTAAACATGATCTCGAAAGAAGCTAAAATTAAAATGTTCAACTGTCGAACGATGTAATTTGAGATCATAACAGAGAAGATAATGATCTCGAGACTAAAGCCTTCTTCGAGAGGGCAAGCATCGCCTTTATATTGTTTCTCTGAATCTCTTTGAATTGTTCTGTCTAGTTTGACCCAATATCTATAACGTTTAATAATCACAGTTTAATTTTCATTCAAGCAACAATTCAATATTACTAAGTTAATCAAAATGATCGATGCATAATTTGTCATAGTAATTTTCGAAATTTATAACAATGGATTTTTAAGAATTTCAATGATTTATTCTGCTGAAATATCAATCTAATATATTTAAAATATATGAAAAAATTATTTTTATTTTTAAAAAAATAAAATTAGTTTTATTTTTCGCTGGGTAACTTGTAAGCATTTTAAGTTCTAATTAATAATTTATCAGTCGTCGACAGTTCTATTGTTATTGTAGAATTTCGGTGAAATTTAGCTTCGCGACTTTTCCCAGTTTTAGATATTTTTAATAATATTGATTTCTCAGTTTAAAAACGAAATGAAGCTTCACAAAAAAAAAAAAAAA